TTCTTGTTAACGAAATTTAAAGAAAAATCTTATCAAACATATGCAAATGCTTTAATTTGGATAGTTTTGTTTGTTTAGAAACTTTTTTACCTCTTGTGTTTTTTGATAAAACTCACCGATTGGAAATTAAAAAATAAAATGTAAAGCATTACATGTCAGGACAAAAAACATTTTTAGATTAAGAATCTAGTGATAATAACGATAATCATAATCATCTAGATAATAACGTATTGCAGTAGAGTAATGTCAAATAAAATAATATTAGGAACATCCTAAAAAGTAACAGCGGCCGACTAGATTTTTTCCTAAAAAAAATACAGCAGCCCACTAGATTCTTTATCAGAAAATGTTTTTGTCCTGACATGTAATGCTTTACATGTTATTTTTTAATTTCAAATCGGTGAGTTTTATCAAAAAAATACAAGAGATAAAACAGTTTCTAAACAAACTAAACTATCCAAATTAATTTTTTGCATGTGTTTGATAAGATTTTTCTTTAAATTTCGTTAACAAGAATGATAGGGGTAGTTTATTTCAACCCCTTCCACTCATTTTAAAAAAGTGAAAAAATTACCAGAAAGTGTGTTTTCATAACAGTAATGCTTCCATAAAATTTTATTAGTCTATCTCTTTTCGTTTTCAAGATAAAAAATAAAAACATTATTTTTCCGCCATCGTTGTACCGCAATATCTCCCTAATGGTTGACTTTTGACCCAACGTTTATGAAGCAAACTACCCTTTATTTTGAACAAGGAATCGCCCCCTGAAGTTTTTCGCATTTGTTTTGAAACACCCTGTATACAGGGTGTCATTGAAATGGTGTAATAATAATCAGGGGGTGATAGTACTCCTAAAAATAGTAAAAACAGTTCCTATAAGTATAGGGAGGAAAAGGCATATTAAGGGAGTTAGGGGCACTGAAAGGGTGGATTTAAAAAACGGTCGTTTTAAAATTGTAGGCTTAAAGAACGAGATAAAATTTCGAAAAAAATCCTCTTCCATAAATTTTGACCTTAAATCAAATGGTGATACTGAAAAACTATGATACCGAAAGGGTATTTTTTGCAAGGGTAGGAGGTTGTTTTGTGAATAACTTTTTTGAGGTTATTTTTTTTGCAACGTGGGTTCTTTTTTAAACGGTTTTATTTAGCTCGACCCGTACGGTATTTATTTATTTGTTTGTTTATTTGGGTCAAAATAATAAAATTCAATTCAAATTTAAGTACCTTCCTGTTGTCAGATTGATCTGAAATTTGGTACACACCTTTAGTTCCGATGACAATACAATATAGTAATATCAATAACATTGTAAATCTAAGATGGCCGCCGGTACAAAATGGCGGATTTCATATTTTTCCACAACCCCCTCAATATGGGTATCAAATGAAAGGGCTACACTAGTAGAATACTGTGATTATGACAAAATTTAAAATCCAAGATGGACGTCGTTACAAAATGGCGTATTAGGTGTGGGCATGAGTAGTCGTGTCCAGAACAGTTGTGTCCAAGATTGTGTGACGTTAGAAGGACAGATAAAAAAAATAGGTGATTAGATGTACCTACGTAATTAGCGGTTAATAGGTTAAAACGTGCTGAGGACTGTATGGCATTAGGGTGGCTAAAAATGTAATGTCGCAAGCGTTTTCCCCTCAAGATTGGGCGCCTCTTGTTGTATATTATAGCCTTGCCCCTCTACTGAACCTCTGGGGGGGGGGTCGACCGTTAAAATCTCCATTACTCGTGGGAACAACATGGAAACAATAAATAAAAAAACAAACAAAAATAAAAACGAAACTGCTACACAACGAAAAAGAAGGCTCGAAAAGGCGAAAGAAAAGTATAGCACGAAACGTGCAAAAGAAAGTGAAAATGAAACCTATAGTCGACTACAGAAACGAAGAGAACGGTTAGCAACAGGAACACCTGAGCAACATGATGCCAGGTTAATAGCACAACGTGAGAGACAAAGGCAGCTGGTAGAGTCAGAAACACCTGAGCGTCATGAGTCCAGGCTAGCATCACAACGTGACAGACAGAGAGAGTTGTTAGCGGCAGAAACACCTGAGCGTCATGAGTCTAGGCTGGCATCACAACGAGAGAGACAAAGAGAGTTGTTAGCGTCAAAAACACCTGAGCCTCATGAGTCTAGGCTAGCATCAGAACGCGACAGACAGAGAGAGTTACCTGATAAATTATCAGGTAAAAAACCATGTAATAATGATGCACTAAATGAATTAAATAGAATGAGGAATATTCGGTAGGCATTTCCGTTAAATACTAAAAACTAGAAAATAAAAAATCGTTAAAAATTTTTTTAAGTTAAACGGTTTTATCTTATGTACACTGAAAACTACAAAATAATAATAACAATTAGGTATTTTGAACTTCTAGTTCAGAAATATTTTAGTTACTAGGCAGAATAGCTTTTAGGCATATTAGACTAAAATAAAAACGTGGGGCCCATTAACTATTGCTGTAATACTTTCTTCTATACTAAGTGTGGATTGCATCGACTTACTATAATCGTAACTGGAGATTTTGACAATCAATAACCAGCCGTGGCGGCTTCACCAGCGAACGCCGAGCTCATGATCTACCAAAGTATAAAGGTATGCTTTGCCATAGGTAGGATTTCAGAGGGGCCCCACGTTTTTATTTTAGTCAATTATGCAGTGCCCCTTCAGTGCCCCTAACTCCCTTAATATGCATTTTCCACCTTATACTTATAGGAACATTTTTTACTATTTTTAGGAGTACCCCCCCGATTTTTTTACATCATTTCAACGACACCCTGTATATAAAACATGGTCTAGGTATAAGAATAGCGTCATCAATCTGAATATTTTCAATTAACACCTTACCAAAATTTTAACAGATTTATGTCCGGTACAGAAAAAAATGCGTCTTCTTCGAAAAGGAAAACAAATTTATGTTTTCTATTACAGTTTTCCGAAAATAATACGCTTTATATTCAGTACTAATTGACCAGGATTGTCTAGTGACATCAGACGCATTTTAAAACAAGTTACATTGCACATTTTTTTATTTTTTTTGGGATTTTTTGTTTACAATTACTTAAATTCGTGCGTTATTATTTTTAGAAGTTTGCATACTTAAGATATTTAATTGGTCAGATCTTTATACAGGGTGTTTCAAAAACCAGGTGATATCTCTCGTGGGGAGATTTCTCACATAAAAAGATTTATTTTTCATATCGACATAGGTCCGATTCTACTTTGTTTCGTAGCTACTGGGTGTTAAAATCTTAATATTTTTTTGAATTATTTTTTTTGTTTGCAATACAAAAAATATCTAAAAGCTTGCATTATTAAAGCATTTTCCAGGTGTTCGATATTGTGTTAGTTGCCACGATAATATTTCATATTTCAAAAATCCCCAAAATCAGAAATTTTGGGGATAATTCTTTAGTTTCTTTTATTATCAATCATGGCCTACTAATAAATATGATATTTTAATATATTTTTTAAATATTGCAGTGAATATTGAAAATAAATATAGAGTGATATATATTTTTGAGAAGCTTATGGCAAGCGAGATCATATAATTCATAAATATACAGTTTTGTGCAAACCAGGTTTGTGCAAACCGCATCCTTCACGAATAACGGAGATACCGTATGATTTCAACTAAAATGGGACACCCTGTACTTACGTTTTGCAATTTTGATGCAAAACCCGGCAATACCTGCATAGAGGAAATGTATCAACCCAACTTTTATCTCTCTTTAATACATTTGATTTTTCATTAAGCTGTTTACATCATTGTCATACGAGCTAAATTCCACCACGCTTTTACAATGACCAGAACGGTATAGTATTTTCAGTCTGTATTTACCATGTTCAGGTGTTTAAAAATGGGCAAAGCAAGTTATTATTGCATCAACTATCAACTCACGCAACCAGGTGGTTCAACTTTAGGTTAATTACATAAAAAAATTGTTATCGTCAAATAGGTGATCTAAAAAGAAGTCTTTTTAGGTATGTTACATACAGAATGGAACAAAAGTGTGCTGTTGAAGTAAGTTTTGCTTAAAAATCACCGACATTTTAGTTTTTACCATAGAGAAAAAGTACTACTATAGTACTATGTTTCGATACCTCTTGGTTATCAGGTCTGTGTATTTGCCCTAGTGAATTTGTCCACAATTTTAGAGATTTGATGGCTACCCGCTATTTTCTGAAACCTTATCTTAGTTTAACAGCCTGATTAAACTGGTTTTACATCCAAATACTCTTAATTTCATCTTTTTAAATCCAAAATTCAACGTCCGTTATTATCTTCGGAATATTTCACATTAAAATTGTATAATTTTATTCGTTTTTTATTCTTACATGGTAATAAAAATCATACGAACATTTCAGAATACTTTATTATTGGAGTAAATACAAACAAAATATAAATATTCTCAAGGTTTCTAGTATTATCCTTGTTACATATTAATTTTTCTTTCTTGGCAAGATTTTGTGCTTTGGGTACATTGATACCTACGTGACAAAGCAAAATAATATGGTTCTCGATTAATTGTAAAATTCCTAGACCATTTTTACATGGATTGCTCTTTTTATACTGTTTTTTTACGTCAAAGAATTCCTAAGAGTTTCAAGAAAATGAGAATAATGCATGTAACTATAGTCTGTACCTAGTAAACTTGATGTTCTGACCTCATTACAATGTCTTTAATGATTCGTTTTGTTATTATTACGTATGCCATTACAGATTTTCTAGGTTGTTTATTATAAATATGCCCATTTTAAATCTTCAGTTGTTTGGAAACCAGAGAAATAAATAAATTTAGAGGAACACTGACGTGTGAAATAGTTGTCTTATTTACTTATTATCCAATACTTAAATTTAACTATCGATATTTTTTATCATTCCTAATTAATAATTTAATAGAATAATAATATCGAGCTAATCTTTTGTTATTTTTCATTCGTAAATACAATTTTTAATATCGATATTTTCTTATTTTTTTCAGGAATGATATCTATGGCAGCCGTAGGACTTCTTATGGTATGTACATCGACTTTGATGTTTGTGCATAGTCCCCTACAAACCATCATTAAATTGGTAAGTCTCCTAACTCGATCGATGTCGTAAAATATCGATCTGTCTTAATATATAAAAAAATTCGATATTTACAAATATCGATATTTTAAAAATGTCGATACACGTAAACATCTTTAATTAGATAAGTAATTTATTATTTACCACACACCATCATTAGACTGGCAAGTTTTTTGAAGCAATCAATAAGGTAAAATATCGATATTCCTCAGTATATAGAAAAAAATCGATATTTACAATTATTGATATTCTGAAATATCGATACATTTAAACATCTCTATCTAGTTAAGTAATTTATTGTTTAGTTCAAACCATAATTAAATAGGCAATTTTTTTAAAGAAACAATACGATAAAATATCGATTTTCCTTAGTATATAAAAAATATCGATATTTTAAAATATCGGTATACATTTAACCATCTTTAACTAGTGACGTAATTTATTATTTACTACCAAACCATTATGAAATTAGTAAGTCTTCTAAATCAATCAATAGCGCCGTAAAATAGGTATCGATATTTTTCAATATATAAAAAATATCGATATTTACAAATATCGATACATTTAACCATCTCTAATTATTTAAGTAAAATATTTTTTTTCAGGTTTTGAACCTATCCGATGGTTCGATATTCTTCAACTTATGGTCAGCCCCTCCCTACGATATCTTCCTGAAAGTTTATCCATTTAATATTACCAACATGGACGAATTTCTTAGTGGAAAGGAGAAAATGAATATTACGCAGCTGGGACCCTATGTTTATAGGTAAAAATACTATGTATTCCTTATTAAATAAGAAATACATAATTATTGTACTAAAAATAAATATATATTTATTTTTTAATGTTTTTTTAGGGAGATTTTAACTAATCAAAACGCCTCATTCAATGACGAAGACGGAACAGTAACTTACCATCCTCATAGAGAAATACTGTTTGATCCAGAACGATCAGTAGGAGATCCTGAAAAGGACATCATAATGACCACTAACATCCCTCTAGTGGTATGAGTCAAAATCTTTCATCAATTTCATAATAAATTCTAAAATTCTTCTGGATTTTTCCAGGGTCTACAATCTTACCTCAACGACGAATCATATTTCAAAAACCTGGCATTCTCCACAGTTACAAAAGCCTTGGGTGCCAAACCCATTGTCAACATAACTGTCCATCAGTACCTCTGGGGGTATACTGATAATCTAATCCAGTATGCCCATACCTTACTACCCTCCTGGATCGATTTTAAAAGCTTTGGAATCTTCGAAAGGGTAAGAAACATTTTAAAACTAAAAAAAACTTATTCTAAAACAATTTTTCTTTTGTAGCTGATGAGTAGAGACAATACTAACGAAGTTACAATAGTCAAAGACCCCTCCAAGTACCATTCAACAACTGATTCCTTGCTGACTGAAGAAGAAAGAATGTCCCAGTACCACGTGACACGCTGGAACAACCTTGCTGGCTTGAAAGATTGGGGTTACGAAGATATGGACCCTGAAGATGTCAGTAAATGCGTTTTGGTCGAAGGTGCTTTCGATGGTACCATATTCCCGAGAAATATGCGACACAACAGGACTTTGCAGCTTTTCAGGAAGGCATTTTGTCGTCCAGTACCTCTGAACTTCATCCAGGACTCTGTAGACGAAAATGGATTTACAGTGTACGAGTACAAGCTTGCTGACAACATGTTTGATGTTACTCCAGAGAATAAATGCTTTTGTTACAAAAATAAATGCGTTAAAGGCTTCCAAAGTATTGCACCATGCTACTACGGAATACCAATAACGTTATCACAGCCCCACTACCTCAATGCTGATCCGGAATCACTAAATTCAGTGAATGGACTGAGTCCAGACATAGAATTGCATGGAAGCGTTTGCCAGATTCAGCCAGACCTTGGTGTGCCGCTCAGAGGGAATATGAGGATCCAGATTAATCTTGACGTAGGCCAGACCAGAGGAAACCACCATACCAAGATGTTCAACGGCCTGCAAGTGCCTCTCTTCTGGGTGGAGATCACCACTGAAGAGCTTCCTTTTGTGGTGGTGTTTTTATTGAACTTAGTGTGCAAAGTGTTGCCTATTTCTCTAGAGGTTGTCAAGTACTTGTTGGGGCTTGTAGGGTTGTTACTTATGTCCGGTTCTGCGGTGTGTATTTTGTTCAAAGCTCGTGTTACTATACCGACAGGAATTAGTTTAAATAGCTCAGAGTATACTTCTATTCCTATTATATCTATACCGGCAGATTTTCTTGATAAGTGCGAGAAACGATTGTCGTTGAAATAATATTGACTCTTTTTCGGAAGTTTTTTTTAGGAAAAATTAGACAATTTACCAGGTGTCTCAGATAAAAGTGCCCCAGTTTGATAGAAACACTTGCCATATAAGTAATGTAGTTATAATATTCTAGATTAAAAATAAAGCAGCTCGCTGTGATATGGGCTGAAAGCCAAGACAGACTGATTTTTTGTTCATAATTTAACTTTATTATTTAAAATAGTATTAGTTTTGTTTTTCGTACAGATCGAAGTATCTCTAAATAATGGGTTGTTATGTTATAAGATCACAAAACGAATAAAAAACAAAATGAGCGGTTAGTATTTTTGTATTTCATATTTTAGAATAAATATATAAGAAATATAAAAAAGAGTATTTTTATTTATCGACTTTGATGTTTGTGCATAGTCCTTTACAAATCATCATTAAATTGGTAAGTCTCCTAACTCAATCGATGCCGTAAAATATCGATCTTTCTTAATATATAAAAATTTCGATATTTACAAATATCGATATTTTAAAAATGTTGATACTTAAACATCTCTAACTAGTTAGGTATTTTATTATTTACCACAAACCATCATTAGATTGGCAAGTCTTCTAAAGAAACCAATAAGGTAAAATATCGATATTCTTCAGTATATAGAAAATATTGATACACATTTACAAACATCGACATTCTAAAATATCGGTACAATTAAACATCTTTAACTAGTGAAGTAATTTATTATTTACTACAAACCATTATCAAATCTTCTAAATCAATCAATAACATAAAATAGATATCGATATTTAGCATTATCGATATAAAAATATTATCGATATTCAAAATTATCGATAATACAAAATATCGATACATTTAAATATCTCTAATTATTTAAATTTTTTTTTTCAGTGTTGTTACTTATGTCAGGTCCAAGATAGAGTGATTTTTTGTTCATAATTTAACTTTATAATTTAAAATAGTATTAGTTTTGTTTTTCGTACAGATCAGAGTATCTCTAAATAATGGGTTGTTATGTTATAAGATCACAAAACGAATAAAAAACAAAATGAGCGGTTAGTATTTTTGTATTTCATATTTTAGAATAAATATATAAGAAATATAAAAGAGAGTATTTTTATTTATCGACTTTGATGTTTGTGCATAGTCCTCTACAAATCATCATTAAATTGGTAAGTCTTCTAACTCAATCGATGCCGTAAAATATCGACCTTTCTTAATATATAAAAATTTCGATATTTACAAATATCGATTTTTTAAAAATGTTAATACTTAAACATCTCTAACTAGTTAGGTATTTTATTATTTACCACAAACCATCATTAGATTGGCAAGTCTTCTCAAGAAACCAATAAGGTAAAATATCGATATTCTTCAATATATAGAAAATATTGATACATATTTACAAACATCGACATTCTAAAATATCGGTACATTTAAACATCTTTAACTAGTGAAGTATTTTATTATTTACTACAAACCATTATCAAATCTTCTAAATCAATCAATAACATAAAATAGATATCGATATTTAGCATTATCGATATAAAAATATTATCGATATTTTGAATATCGGTAATACAAAATATCGATACATTTAACTATCTCTAATTATTTAAATATTTTTTTTTAAACAAAAATATTTTTTTTTGAACAAAATGAGCGGTTAGTATTTTTGTATTTCATATTTTAGAATAAATATATAAGAAATATATAATAGAGTATTTTTATTTATCGACTTTGATGTTTGTGCATAGTCCTTTACAAATCATCATTAAATTGGTAAGTCTCCTAACTCAATCGATGCCGTAAAATATCGATCTTTCTTAATATATAAAAATTTCGATATTTACAAATATCGATATTTTGAAAATGTTGATACTTAAACATCTCTAACTAGTTAGGTATTTTATTATTTACCACAAACCATCATTAGATTGGCAACTCTTCTAAAGAAACCAATAAGGTAAAATATCGATATTCTCATCATTAAATTGGTAAGTCTCCTAACTCAATCAATGCCGTAAAATATCGATCTTTCTTAATATATAAAAATTTCGATATTTACAAATATCGATTTTTTAAAAATGTTAATACTTAAACATCTCTAACTAGTTAGGTATTTTATTATTTACCACAAAACATGGCAACTCTTCTAAAGAAACCAATAAGGTAAAATATCGATATTCTTCAGTATATAGAAAATATTGATACATATTTACAAACATCGACATTCTAAAATATCTCGGTACATTTAAACATCTTTAACTAGTGAAGTAATTTATTATTTACTACAAACCATTATCAAATCTTCTAAATCAATCAATAACATAAAATAGATATCGATATTTAGCATTATCGATATAAAATATTATCGATATTTTGAATATCGATAATACAAAATATCGATACATTTAACTATCTCTAATTATTTTAATTTTTTTTTTCAGTGTTGTTACTTATGTCAGGCCCAAGATAGAGTGATTTTTTGTTCCTAAATTAACTTTATTATTTAAAATAGTATTAGTTTTGTTTTTCGTGCAATTAAAGTATCTCTAAATAATGGGTTGTTATGTTATAAGATCACAAAACGTATAAAAAACAAAATGAGCGGTTAGTATTTTTGTATTTCATATTTTAGAATAAATATATAAGAAATATAAAATAGAGTATTTTTATTTCCCAGTTTTAAATACTGTTTCTATTCTTAAGGTGTAGGTATTTTTAAAGCTTCTTCAGTGAGTCGATCAGGACGGCCATTTCTGACCCGATGTTGCTGACCAGTCGTTGGATTTGGGGTTTGGCGTCTAGGACCTCGATGCTCTGAGTGTAAGCGTTGTATCTCACGCCAAACGGTCTTGGAATTGTTGCAGCATATTTTCTGAAAATAAAAACCCTTATTCAATGCTTAATACTAGTCAAAATATTCTGTGGATTTTGGATAAAAAAATAAAAAATTGTAAAAATACTTTATTATTTAAAAAAGTGTAGCAAGTAATTTGAGGAGAATGTCAAGAAAAATGTTAATGGGTTAAAAATGAATAACGTTGAAAATTTTATCAACATTATTTGCTAAAAAAATTCTGGGTGATTGAATTAGAGTTATTTTATTTATTGTGGGAGAGTCTTAAATATTTTTTTACACGTTCTGTGCCATATTAGTAGGTACTTACATCATTTTTTCCTTGGCATCTTCGAAACTTTCCGCTACGTAGTACACAGGCTGGTACTCCGTGATTGGATATTTCTGCAAAGCTGTTTTTGAAGGTTCGAAAACTCGGTATTCCGATTTCCCTTCCAGGGCGTACTGTAGTTCACCGTACGAAGAGAGAAGTCCTGCACCGAAGGCTTTCATCTTCTCCCCTTCACGACAAATACCATATTCTACAGTGAACCAGAAACACTAAAAGAGAAATAAAAACATTTATACCTTTTTATCATTGAGAATTGGACACAATTCACCTCTATTGAAAAATCAATAAAAGTTATTTAATTGATTTCTCTAACTCTTCTGAACTTTTATTGATTTCTCTATAGTAGTTCAATGTCTACTGAATTTTGGGAAAACACCCTGTATCATAGACTTAAAATAAAATATAGACTGAGCATCTCATTCATAAATAGCTGGAACATGCGGTCAGACACTGTCTTGTTATTGTTATGTTATTGTTTTAGGTTATAACGAGTGCGACACGAGCGATAGATAGGTTGTCTCTGTCGTAACGGTCGTTCCCTGACGACTCTGCCGAGAAACACAACACTGTCTTTCGTTCTCAAGTACACCTGAACTCCGTATCATAGTTGCTTTATTTTAATAAAGCTATAATTAAATTAAAAATATATCGTATTTAAAACTTTTATATTTTACAGATTTAGGATAGTCTTTAAATAAGTTTAGAAAAACAACAATCCAAAAGATAAAAATAATAAAAAATACACGTTATAGAAGAAATTTTATAAATCGAAATTACGTAATTTTTAAACACTAATGAATATTAATTTTAGTCAAACATTTACAACCCCTAATATTAATCAAAACAGGATCTATTCCACAGATATAATAGAATCGGCGACAGGGAGAGAAAAAAATATATGATTATTGTAATTTTTTTTCTGGTTCGGTGATGTCTTATTATGTAAATTAGAGAAAACATAAATCTGTTCCATTAAAGCAAAGAAGGTGATAGGAAGTGGATAAAATGAAAACTACATTTATTTAATTCGGTACTATCTCTATTATACCGGGTGCATCCCAAAAGTGGCTCATCTCCATATTTTTTTTTATATTTCCAAATAAAAAAAAAAGATTTAGTATGTTAGTATATGACATTAATTAGGATTGATTGACGCATTCAATTGTTTTTGGTCACTTCCTCTTTCACCGGAAATGACTATAACTTTTAATTTTTAAACGGCACCCTCGGTATATTTCTACTTGATTCGATAGACAATGACACTCTTAATAGAATGACATATCGTATGTCAACTTTTGACATTTTTGCATATGGTTTAATTGTAATTGTAACACGCGGTTCATAACGACAATTTGACTCAAAATACCAAGTGTGTGGTATCAATATATTCATAAAAAATGCTTTTTCCAAATATGCTAATGAATCACCCTTGTTCCATTTGGAAAAATTGACATATGATTAAAAATACGATTTGTACATCTTTTAACCGGCCTAGACAAGACACGAAACCTATTAGACAATCAAAACTATTTTGCCAAGGCTCCTTGATTAAAACTTAGTGTTTTTAACAACACCATGGTACCCTGGATTGAAATTTAAAATACGATTTGTTTTTAAGCGACATTGTCAAATGTTGACATATGATATGTCATTCTATTCAGAGTGTCATTTTTTATCGAATAAAGTAGCAATATACCGAGGGTGCCTTTAAAAATCAAAAGATGTAATCATTTCGGTGAAACAGGAAGAGACCAAAAACAACTGAATACGTCAATAAATCCTAATTTATGTCATATACCTACTAACATACAAATCTGTTTTTTTTATCTGAAAAAATAAAAAAGTTATAGGGGGTGAGCCACTTTTGAGACGACCCGGTATATTAAAAAATATTGTTTCATAATGTAATATCAATTTAAAATTCTTGTATGTTATTTTATATGCTCAAGATAATTTTAGAATAAACCATATTTTTAATAAAATCATTATTAATTATTAACAGGGTTATAATTATGACTTTGTTACAATGTAAGTAAGTAAATAATGTAATGAGAAAAAATTCAGATTTTACATTTTACTAAAATATTATCTAAATAAGCGCCTTTCTACAACAACGCCACTGGCTCCCAATGGGCAAATTGAGAGTTGTCTACCGGTCGAAAGTCGTTTCAAGACTTAAATGGATTATTTAAGTCAAATTTCTTGCAAATTTGGCACTGGCGAACCATATTTTATAGTTCTTGAACAGAAAAAGTCAATAAAATAAACACTTAAGGACTACAAACTAAGAAAATGCGTTAATACAGCCGGGGACATAGCGGCATCAAAGCTTTACCGCACACTTGCCACGCGTACTACAAGGTAATAAATGAATGAATAGGCTCCCTCGCCTCTAATCGGTGTTATCATATTGTAAAGAACTTATCCTTTTTAAACAGTATCCGACTTATAATTTAGTAGTATAAGGACTATTTAATACATCTATGGAATATTAAAACCTACTTTATTAAACTGTAGTATTAATATCTCAATATGTATAAATAATCTGTCAAAATTCAAAGATATTCATTTTATAGACTATACATTCACCTTCTATAGAAAAATCAATAAAAGTTATTGAATTGGATTTCTCTAACTCTTTCTGAACTTTTATTGATTTCTCTTATAGTAGTTCAATGTCTACTGAATTTTGGGAAAACACCCTGTATACTTACCGTGGCTAGCTTTTCAATGTAGTCATCTGGAGCACCTAATGATGCTAGTCCGATTTCCTGAGAAAATTGGGCGAATTCTGGGTCAGCAAATAAGGGTGCGTGTCCTAGGAGTTCGTGACATACGTCAGGTTCAGGGGTATAGTACGGTTTGCTGGGATGTCGGATATACTGGGTGGAGTGGAATACCCTGAACGCTAACCCTGCTAGAAAATCTCTGGAGGAGAGTAGTCCAGCTACTGGCCTCAAAGTGAACCCTGTACAATCTAAGCAGAAAAAAATAGTTATTTATACACTCACCGGTACAAAAAATGGCACCTTTAAAATTTTCATGTATTTTAAAGTTTTTATATATGGTTGCTCACTACATACGACACGGAGTATTAGATATACTGTGAGGAATACCCCTGAACGCTAACCCTGCTAGAAAATCTCTGAGGAGAGTGTCCAGCTACTGGCCTCAAAGTGAACCCTGTACAATCTGAGCAGAAAAAATAGTTATGAAGGACTATTAGAGGTACAATTTAAAATACTTTATAAGATACAGAGTGTCCCAAATAATAAAAAATATCAAAGATGTATTTTTTTAAATAGAACACCCTGTATATTATTACATTTTTAGTTTCTACGATTAAAATAAAGGTAAATTTGATTAAGGTTTATTATACTTAAACCTTACCGTTTTTGAAATATTTTCAATTTTGTGAAATTGCAGTAAAAATTTTAAATCTTCATTTCTCCAAGGGTATCAATGTTTTTAATACTAAATATTTAATGAAGTTTATTTATTAATCAGTTATTGTGTTGCAATAATAAAAATAATACTACTTTATACAGAGTGCCTAAAAATTTATCTTAAATAATTATTAGCTTCAAACGGCAATAACTTCTTTAATTTAAATGGAATGCCCTGTATATTTTACGAGAATCAGATGCACAATCAAATTGTCTATCAAGTTGTATTATACCTATATTTTTTACCTATCCCTTCAAGTTTTCGTAGAAAATGCATTTTCTTATAATTTAGACATCATTTATCAATATACCCATGGAATACTGACATTTTAGATGTTTTTAAAGCAACAAATGTACAAAATGTACAGACTAGTAATATTATCGTTTTTAGTAAAGCGATAATATTACTAGCCCATTTGTATGCAAAAAGAAAACTATTTAAATCTTTATAAAAGAGTATACCATTAATTAAATATAACACCATTATTTCCGCCCATATACTAATTAATGACATACTTAATTGTGTTCGTTAATAAATTATTATAAATAAATGTGGATTTGAGTCAGAAATCAATATAATAATAAGTTATCAAATTAAAGTCTCTGTAGTTATAAATAAGCATTTATTAAAAAATGAAATATCATTTTTAAGGTGTTACTTTTTATCACACTGTCTAATGCCCATACAAAATTCAGTTTTTTAGTATTTGGAGCAATTATTATTAATCAAAGCAAACAGTCAGTTAATGTTGTTTGAATACTGGAATCATATTAACTGATCCTCTTTAACAAATATTTAAACAGTTTTTTTTTATTTTTTAATGAAATAAACGAATTATATCGACAATATTAATATTTGTACTCTTTAAAAATTTGGTACATCTTTAAAAATGACCTAAAATGTCAATAGTCCATGGGTATATTGATAAATAAGTTCTAAATTACAAGAAAATGCATTTTCTACGGAAACTTAAAGAGATAGGTAAAAAATGGTTTAATATAATTTGATAGACAATTAAATTGTGCATCTGATTCTAGTAAAATATACAGGGTGTTCCATTTAAATTAAACAAGTTATTGCCGTTTGAAGCTAATAATTATTTAAAATAAATTTTTAGACACTCTGTATAAGGTAGTATTATTTTTATTATTACTACACAATAACTGATCACTAAATAAACTTCAGTAAATATTTAGTATCAAAAATTTTGATACCCTTGGAGAAATGAAGCCTTAAAATTTTTACTGCAATTTCACAAAATTGAAAATATTTCAAAAACGGTAAGTATAATAAATCTTAATCAAATTTACCTTTATTTTAATCGTAGAAACTAAAAATGTAATAATATACAGGGTGTTCCATTTAAAAAATAAAACTTTGATATTTTTTACTTATTTGGGACACTCTGTATCTTGTAAAATTATTTTTAAATTGTACCTCTAATAGTCCTTCATCGAACCCAAAACTTACAATTTGTAAAAATCTCATCGTTTAGCCACAATACCCGTGTCGTATGGTGAACAACCCTGTATATTGTCTTCTAGTGGACCGGATTTTGATGATTTTTTAAGCAATTATGTAGCTAAAATATTTGACTTTTTAGTGTGTCTTTCTAAATTAAAAATGAAAGTTGCCATCTGTCAATTATACGAGGGAAAACAAAATGTTGATATTTTGGTGAAAGTTTGAAACACCCTGTGGAGTACATTAACGAAGTAAGGAATAATAATTTTATTGTTGCGGACCCGTGCGAACTCGGCCTAAGACGCCCGGTGCCGTTCGAGAAGTGTTCGAGAACAAATAGAAGCTGGGTGAGACAAAAAATCGGGACTGCAACTGTTTCTCCTCATAGGGTGAGTTTCCTACGATGTTCTCTATGGGTATTTGGGAAACTACTGGAGATAGAGTCAGTTGAAATGGGGAAAGAATTATAAATCGCTGCGACTGTAACCTGCGATTGCGATTTTGATATTTTTAAATTGGTACGGCCAATCTGAAGTCAAGACACGTTCAATAACCTATAGCTGGTTATTTTTTAAAAAATCGAATTTGTTTAAAACAAGTAACAATTAAATATTAGCTGTTTGAATGGTAAAGTTAGGCTCATATAACATAATTATAATAGGTAGATGGGACGATGGTTCGACGATGAACAAAAAGCAACTGGGAGTCGCCCCTTATCAAAATTATTCACCAGAGAGTGTTACAGTAAGCAGTAGCAGATGTCAAAGCCAAGCGAAAATTTAAGAGAGGCGGCTGAGTATTATAGGATTCCTAAATCAACAATTAGCCGACTCATACTAAGAGGATTCATGATCAAGCCAAGTCCAGACGGCAACCTAGTGCTGAGTATCGAGGAAGAGAGGCAAATTTTATACTGATATTTTAGAAATAATCAATCTGATTTTTTAACGAAGATGCAAAAGTTACGCTATCGGTCAGCCGATTCTTGGAAAGTTAGTATACAGGTAGGCTCAGGGACATGTATGGTGACAAAATCTCGGAAGACCAAAGCGGATTCACACCGGGGAAATCTTGCACAGATAACCTTTTTGTCCTGCAGCAGGTGATGGAAAAAAAAAGATAGCAGTAGATCAAGAAGTCCATCTAGCATTTATTGATTTGGAGAAAGCGTATGACTCTACCCCCGCAGCAAGATATGGGAAGTATTGAATATCTTAGAAGTAGATAGACCTTTGCTTAAGATAATAAAAGAGCTATATAAAGAAAATGACTCGTACGTTAAGATAAGACACAGGCTATCTAATCCAATTAACACCACAAAAGGGTTGCGACAAGGATGCAGCTTATCTCCTCTGATCTTCAACGCTTACGTCGAAGTAGCCCTTAGGGAATGGAAGCCGAAATGTCAAGGTATGGGAATACCCATTGGGGACAACACACTATTTACCCTGAACTTTGCAGACGATCACGTCGTGATTGCGCAGGACTCATACGATCTAGAGTTTATGACTAAGAGGCTTTATCAAGAATACAACAAATGGGGACTTCAGGTTAGTCTAAAGAAGACCGAAGCTGTCAATTCCAACGCTTGTTTTGGAAGTCTTCTATTAAATGATAACTGTCCAGATCCAACAAGTAGACAAATTTAAATACCTGGGTGTTAATCTATCAACAACGAGGGTTTGGGCAAAGAAGAAATACAACCCGAATTCAGAAGAGCAACAAGTTATTGGATGTCTTAACAGCCTCTGGTGGTGGAATCGAAACTTATCTGCAAATAACCAAAAGAGACTTGGAAGAACATTTGTCGCAGTTTGCTATGGAAAGGAATCACAGGTTGCGATTGCGAATTTACACCGTTGCGATTAAATCGCAGCGAGATTTTCTGCGATCATCCTCTAATGGGTATCCTCTCGGAAACTACTGGAGATAGAGAGTCGGTTAAACGGGGAAAGAATAATTGCAGTTTTGTGGAGTCATTAACAAAATTATGGTTCAGAGCTGTGGACTCTGAGTGCAGATTACGAAGCGCAAATCCAAGTTGTTGATCATGGACTATTCACCAGAAGAAGTTACAGCAAGTAGTATCTAGATGGAAAAAGCTGAAACATCGGAGGTCAGGCGTATCATGAATGCATCGGAGGAGACAGCTATCCACGATTGGCGAAAAGATCCAGCTAAGAATCCAGAATGGCAACCAGTGCTGGGAGAAATGCCGAGGAAGAAGCAAAAGAGTTTTTCAATGATATTTTGTAGGAAATAATCAATCTTTTAAATAGAGATGTCTAATCCTGGAACAGAACGGTCATAGACCTAATGGAAAGCTCGTAACCTAGAAGCCTCATGGACAGCTCTTTAGTCGAGATCTCGGAAGACCAAAGTGGATTCACACCGGGAAATCTTGCACAGATAACCTTTGTCCTGCAGCAGGCGATGGAAAAAAGATAGCCGTAGATCAAGAAGTCCGAAGTTTCCTTTATTGGTATAACATCAAGGTAATGAATATTTTCCCTGCAGCAAGATATAAATTATTGACCACCTATGGGGATAACTTTCGACCTTTTCAAAGATAATAAAATATCTACGTAAAGAAAAAATGAATCGTAATGTTTTTTTAGTTAGACATAGATCTAATCCAAGGTAACCCACACAAAAGATATTGGTTGAATTTGAACACACTTAGGTCAAGAAACTTACAAAAAATCTAAAAAACTGTCCGAAGTAGCCCCGTTTTACGGTACTATCTTTTGAAATACATGAGTTACTATTCACCAGTTTTATCATCCTTTGGTATTATTTTTAATATATTTTACCTTTGAGGAAGTTAGAGACATCTTCGAGTTGAGGTATATTGTCCTCCCTGTAACCACAGTTTTCTTCAAGTAAGGGAAACACGTGGTTATGTTCTTTACAAGCGTGCGTACTATACAGGGTCTTTAATTGTCTGAACACCTTTCCCCAAGTCTCCACTTCTTCTTTGGTATATTCTACGTGAGGTAATTTCTGACCATGCCTGTAAAATATTTTGAAAAAGTCATTAAATTCAATATACAGGTGAATAGGGACTTCAGAAGTTAGTCTAAAGAAGACCGGAATACTTAGCTGTCAATTCCAACGCCGCTTGTTTTAAAAGGTTCATTAATGATAACGCCTCCAGATCCAACAAGTAGACAATTTAAATACACTGGGTGCTACTATCAAAATCGGATGACTTTGGGCAAAGAATATGAAAATACAAATATCACATTTCCATAGCTACTTTTCTTGCTCTATAAGTTGATGTTTAACATAAACAACTTACTTGTAATTGAAATGTTAGAGTCTTGCAAAAAACATTTCTGCGAGTCCCTGTATACTATGATTCGGTGAATCTGGATGGTCGGAATCCAGACGCGAAGCGCATAGAAAAGATTTGATTATGAACCTATCCAGATCCCTGATTCTTCTGGGAAACCATGGTAGGGTATGGAAAAATACAAACATCGAAATACAGGCGTTAATCATTGTTGCGGAGGAGAGACAATCGAATCGAAATTTTCGGAACTTTGATTATCTCCAGACCAACCTGCATGCCGGAGTAGACTATCGAATGGTTACTGAATGAATGATTTCAACTATCGAATGGTTTTATTCGAATAAAATCATTCATTCATCTATCGGTATACTTCAGCTTATGGGTGATTTAAACTTCGCCAAAGCGACTAAATGGTTATCGTTGAGCCAATGACTATCGGAATTTGCTTTTTGATAAATGAAACTTAGAATTTTAGTATTCGCTTGATTTTTTTGTGGGTAAGCGTCAGAAAAGTACTTATTAGTTCTTCCAAATTTTTATAACTTACGGTATAAATAGTGTGCTATTTTTTGGCGTTTACTAAAATATTTTAAAATACTAAAATGAGTAGCTTTTTAATTGACGATGTGTGTGCGTGGAGTAACGTCAAAATTTTTCCGAAAATTGGAAATGTGTATTAAAATACTTAGCCCGAATCTTTCAATATATATTAATAAAGATATGGTATATGGTCCATTTTTTTATTGGGTAATTTTGAGAAGTAGCAATTTTAAGAGAGAAGATGAACTTGATTAATTTTTAAAAATATATTTTGTATTTTAGATGTTTTAGTTTTTAATAATATGAAATATAGTTGATTTTTTAAAGGTATTGTAAGTAATGTGGTTAAGTAAATGATTATCGAACTCGTTACACTGAGAAATGAAATTGAAAGTATTACACGTGCCAAAAAAAAAGTTAACGATGTTTGTATTTTAGTTATGCTAATTCTCTTACATGTAGTTTTTTATGAAGAAATATTTTCATTTATTTTTTAGTAAATGCCAGTAAAAGATATACATATTGAATTTAAATACAATATAGCACCTAACTATAAATAATCTTGATTTCTACTTTCTTTCTATATTTCCTTCCATTACACTGCTATGCTTTTAAAATTAATAAATGTTGATATTTCATGATTTTAAAAATTTATTGTTAATCCTTTTGGTATTAGTTCTGTAATATATTATTATTTATAAACCAAGTTGCCAGACAAAAATTTAGAGACTATATTATTTTGTAAATAGGATCTAATTCAAGTAATTTTGACATCTAATTTGTTGTTTATAAGCGTGCGTACTACTTAAAGGGTCTTTTAATTGTTTGAGAAATTTTGTTGTTATTAGGTATAACAAATTATTACTGTTATTATTATATTATTAAACCAGTCTTTTCTTAAAAAACATGCCTGTAAAATCATTTTTCCTACATCCATTAAATTCAATATACACGGCAGAATAACAACAGAATATTCATATAAAAGAATGAAAATATATAGACATTTCTATAGCTAACTAACTTGTTCTGTAAGTTGATGTTTAACATAAACAACAATAATATTCTTTGCTATCAACTATCACTCAATATATGGCAACAGCGCCCTTTATAATATATTTACTGTGTAATTGAATGCTATGTCTGCAAAATACTTTCTGCGATCCCTGTATACTTGATCGGTGAATCCTGGATGGTCGGAATCCAGTTCTTCTTTCATAGCATTGCCACTTCAGATTGCCGAACCTTTCGGAGATCCCTGACGTCGCCGGGCGAAACCTCAAAAATCCAGTTATATTTTATTATAATACAATCCTAAAAATAAATGGCAGGGTTAATGATTGAATTTATAAATGACACTCGAATAAATGTGGTATCGAACTTTTTGATTATCTCAAGATTACTCAGAATAAAATATTTCAAGGCAGAACATTACGCATTCTATACAATAATTTTGATTCGAATAGTTTTCAACGACATGTTTGTCTCTAAATTTGTTATGTTTCATTATTCGAATGAATTTTCAATATCGAATGTTTCTGAGTAGTATTCTCATGATAGTTCCTACTGTTTTGTTCGTATATTTTATATTTCTCGTCTTGGTCTGGTTCATGTACCTTTGTTATCCTTGTAATCCCTGGAGATGATCTGCAAGTACTGACTGCATTTTTTAATGTCCTCTATAGCCCCACTTAGGTCTCCAGAAGGAGCACACTCCACCATGAATTCGTACAAATCAGGCATTTTGGTGGAAGGTCTGGATTCGATGTGCAACAGGTTGACTTCATGTTTCTTGAAAGTGTTCAGGTATTTAGCGAGTACCCCCACTTCTTCTGAGGGAGGTGCGAACAGCAAATAAGTACTTTTTGCCGAGTCCCTGCCTATTTTTATGTAGTTCCCGCCTGGCATTAGTTTAGGCTGAAAAATAAAACGTTTTAAGGCCTCGTCTACATATATACAGAGAAGACCAGGCTACTAGCACAGATTATACAGATTATAATCTTTGTTTTTTCTTTATTGTTTTTCGTGGTTCCAATTTTCGGAATCGGGCAGTAGTTAGGTTACTAGTTTGCGCACATAGCACGCCCACTTATGGCCTCTAAAATTGTGCACAGCGCCTGACCGGCACAGTTATTAGAGAGATATCGGAAAACCAAATGTAAATAGTAATTTTATAAAAATAAATCCGCCGAAATTCACAATTTTTTTTCACTACCTTAACCTAACCTAACAAGTTCGGCGAACTACGCCGATTTGAGATCGTTCAAATCAAAACTAGTTTGATACAAACGAACTGCTGTCCGCATACGTTCCCGAAATTTCGTTCCGAAATTTCGTTCCGATCTAGACTGGCGGGTCCTACATATATACTGGGTTTGGCCGGAAACGCTAACGAACTTTTCGTGCTATATCACCGAAATATTTCGGGCCGATCTGGTCAGAAAACCAGGCCTTAACCCTTGCGCTGCGGTGGGATTCTGTAAGCTCGTAATATGAAATTTCTTGCTAGTGATTCATTATTCTTATGATATTTTTAGAATCTATACTAATTAAAATCCTTAATTAAGTGACTGACATACTGATTAATCACGATCCTGCTCAAACCACTCAACGTAAAGGTGCGTATTCATTATCCGAACGAACGAAAGAATGTTCGCTAGTGGTATGGACGTGGACCGTACGATAGAACCGCACGAGAAGACCGGACGCGAACGCCTTTGATGTACCGACCCGAAACGGATGGTCGAGCGAACGAACGAACGAACGGCCGCATGCGTTCGGTCCCCGTCTAAATATACCGCACTTTCATTCGTTCGTTCGTTCGTTCGTTCGGATAATGAATACGCACCTTAAGAAGCTCAATTTTGGTATACGTTGATTAATACGTTGGCAATAAGTTGATTCTATGATAAATCGATAAATCGATATATTCTAATCAGAGAAAATCTAAAATTCTAATCTATATATTCTATGAATCGATAAATCGATAAATCGATAAAATCGATAAATCGATAAATCGATAAATCGATAAATCGATAAATCGATAAATCGATAAATCGATAAATCGATAAATCGATAAATCGATAACCGATAAATCGATAAATCGATAAATCGATAAATCGATAAATCGATATATTCTAATAATAGAAAAATCTAAAATTCTAATCGATATATTCTATGACAAATCGATAATCGATAAATCGATAATCGATAAACCGATAAATCGATAAATCGATGAATCGATGAATCGATGAATTGATGAATCGATGAATCGATGAATCGATGAATTGATGAATTGATGAATCGATGAATCGATGGATCGATGAATCGATGAATCGATGAATCGATGAATCGATAAATCGATAAATCGATAAGTCGATAAATCGATCAATCAATAAATCGGTAAATCGATAAATCGATAAATCGATAAATCAATGAATCAATGAATCAATGAATCAATAAGTCAATAAATCAATTAAGTCATCAAGTCAATAAGTCAATAAGTCAATAAGTCAATAAGTCAATAAGTCAATAAGTCAATAAGTCAATAAGTCAATAAATCAATAAGTCAATAAGTCAATAAGTCAATAAGTCAATAAGTCAATAAGTCAATAAGTCAATAAGTCAATAAGTCAATAAGTCAATAAGTCAATAAGTCAATAAGTCAATAAGTCAATAAGTCAATAAGTCAATAAGTCAATAAGTCAATAAGCCTAATAAGTCAATAAGTCAATAAGTCAATAAAGTCAATAAGTCAATAAGTCAATAAATCAATAAATCAATAAATCAATAAATCAATAAGTCAATAAGTCAATAAATCAATAAATCGATAAATCGATAAATCGATAAATCAATAAATCAATGAGTCAATAAATCAATAAGTCAATAAATCAATGAGTCAATGAGTCAATAAATCAACAATAAATCAACAAATCGATAAATCAATAAATCAATAAATCGATAAATCAATGAGTCAATAAATCAATAAATCGATAAATCGATAAATCAATGAATCAATAAATCAATAAATCAATAAGTCAATGAGTCAATGAGTCAATAAATCAATAAATCAATAATCCAATAAATCAATAAATCATTAAATCAATAAATCAATGAGTCAATGAGTCAATAAATCGATAAATCAATAAATCAATGAGTCGATGAGTCAATAAATCAATAAACCAATGAGTCAATAAATCAATAAATCGATAAATCGATAAATCAATAAATCAATAAATCAATAAATCAATAAATCAATAAGTCTATAAATCAATAAATCAATGAGTCAATGAGTCAATAAATCAATAAATCAATAAATCGATAAATCAATAAATCAATGAGTCAATAAATCAATAAATCAATAAATCAATAAATCAATAAGTCAATAAATCAATAAATCGATAAATCGATAAATCAATAAATCAATAAATCAATGTCCAACAATAAATCAATAAATCAATAAAATCAATAAATCAATAAATCAATAAATCAATAAATCAATAAATCAATAAATCAATAAATCCAATAAATCAATAAATCAATAAATCAATAAATCAATAAATCAATAAATCAATAAATCAATAAACTGGCCAAATCAATAAATCAATAACCAATAAATCAATAAATCAATAAATCAATAAATCAATAAATCAATAAATCAATAAATCAATAAATCAATAAATCAATAAATCAATAAATCAATAAATCAATAAATCAATAAATCAATAAATCTTTTGGTATACAAGTTGATTCTATGATAAATCGATAAATCGATATATTCTAGTAATAGAAAAATCTAAAATTCTAATCGATATATTCTATGATCAGTATTTACGCGTACCTTATCATGGTTACGATATGCGCGAGTCAATTTTTAACGCAACACCCGCTAATAACGTTACCGTCTGACGTAATTTGCGGATCAATTACAAGCGCTCTTTCTAAATAACCTCTGATAACGTTTAAAAATTGCTTAAATGGGCATGTGCGGGTATTTGACAACCGGAGCCGGCCGGCGCGGCGAGATCTTTTATTTTAGGTTATGTTTGAATTGTTTTGAATTATTGCTTTAGTTTTATTAGGTAATTTGACATTTAAGTAGCTGGGATTAGTTTTAATTAAATAAATATGGCCTAAACTATGGATTCCACCTCTTCCAATACTAAAGAACCTATAAAGGGTCTTAGGTTTACAGCAGATGACGACTTAGCCCTTCTAAGAGAATTTGTTGCTTGTTGTCCTAAACCCACTGGCAGACGTTGAACAATAAAGCACTGGAAATAAGCACTTTAGCCCTTTAGTTTTAAATAATACCTAGTAAACAAAAACGCCCGCTGTTGCCACATCGACTAGAAAGATTTAAAACTACTTGCAAAATTCCACACCACCCAAGAGGTTCTGCAGAGGTGCGTTACTTTTTAAGTGGGTGAGAGAAGCTTATTGTAATTAATGTTAAGATTTATTTTTTCAGTTTACTCCAGTGGAAAAAGTATTTAAAATATTGCGCGTTTCTGTAGAATTAGTAGAGCAATCTACACTAATATGAATAAAATTAATTTTCGTATTTTTTTCTGTAGCAACTAAAAATAATTGAATTTATAGATAACATGCAGAATGTGGATATGGTAGGAGGTGGCAACGTTGCATTCTCTCCGACACTCTCTATGCCTGGTAAACGAATTTCCCGGGGAGTGAACAGTGGCACTCAAAAGTTTTTCAACATTTTCCGGAAAATGTCAAGAAAAATATAAAATTTTCAACATTTTTTCGCAAAAACCTCATAGGCGTGTTTCTGGGGTTGAACTATACTACCAGTTGCAATATCTGCATCTCATTTCTGGGACACCCTGTATAGTAGTGTGTCTAGGGTATGCTCAAACTGATGAGCTACTGGAAGATGAAACCTATGCTTATTATTGATATTTCAGAAAAAAAAAAACGAGTGAGGGGAATGGGTGAGGGAAATGAAGAGGAAGAAATAGATACCTTGAGACTTTCAAATTTTTTAAAAGCTGTGTAATGTTGCATTACATATGCGGTTGTAAATAAAATTATTTAAAAGTAATGCCTAGAATATAGGGTGTTTCAATAGTCGGGGCATTAGGTGATTTTGCTCAGGCTGGTAGGTTGTCGCTTGGGTCAAAAGTCAACCATTAGAGATATCAGCAAAGAGTTTATGAAAAATAATGTTCTTTTTTTTATCTTGAAAACGAAAAGAGATAGACTAATGAAATTTTATGGAAGCATTACTGTTATGAAAACACACTTTCTGGTAATTTTTTCACTTTATTAAAATGAGTAGAAGGGGTTGAAATAAACTACCCCTATCATTCTTGTTAACGAAATTTAAAGAAAAATCTTATCAAACACATGCAAAAAAATTAATTTGGATAGTTTAGTTTGTTTAGAAACTTTTTTATCTCTTGTAATTTTTTTATAACTCACCGATTTGAAATTAAAAAATAAAATGTAAAGCATTACATGTCAGGACTAAAAATATTTTTAGATTAAGAATCTAGTGATAATAATGATAATAATTATAATCTAGATAATAACGTATTGCAGTAGGGTAATGTCAAATAAAACAATATTAGAAACATCCTAAAAAGTGACAGCGGCCGACTAGACTTTTTCCTAAAAAAATTACAGCTGCCCACTAGATTCTTTATCTAAAAATGTTTTTTGTCCTGACATGTAATGCTTTACATTTTATTTTTTAATTTCAAATCGGTGAGTTTTATCAAAAAAACACAAGAGATAAAAAAGTTTCTAAATAATGGACCCACCCTTCCAACACCTCAAAGAAACCCATAAAGATCTTAGGGTTTGCTAAGCAGATTACGACTTAGCCTTCTAAGAGAATTTGTTGCTTCATTGTCCACCAACCCAATTGGCAGACGTTGAACAATAAAAGC